CAAAACAAAACAAAAAAACCAGCAATACACAGAAAAAACTTGTATGCAGAAACATACAAAGAACTAAACTGAGGTTTAGCAGTACGTGTTTAAGAACATTTAAATTATTGCAAAAAGATATGCAGTGATAAGGAAAACTATGGTGTATATGAGTTAAGATTGTGTTCCTATTATTAAAAAGGTGACTTTAAAATGGTATTAAGGGGAACATGACGTTCCTTTCCCTGGATGTCCTTCCTCCCCAGCCACTCAGAATCATCATCCTTCAGGACCCACTCATAAGACCAGCCTGAATCCCCACCACCAATATTAATTCTGCCTCCTGTATACATTCAGAATACTTTATATATGTTTCGTGACCTGTAACTGTTTCCATACACATCTCTTTTCCTTCGAGACTGCAAGCTCTTTGAGGACAGGATCCATGATTAATGCATTTTTTGTTCCTTTCAATATCACACCTAATGGACACTCAGTAAATCTTTGATGAATGAACTGGAACGCAATTTGCCCATTATGTTGAGTCTATGCTGGATCCAGGGTCTCCGAAATAAGCAAAATAACTGGAACAGATTCAGAATAGAACAATGAACCAAAATGACTAAAGACGTGGGACAAACAATCTTTATGTGGAAACAACAATAAAAAAATGGTTAGAGGAATTCAGCCTAGGGAGGTGACCACTGGGAAATGATGTCATAGGCATCTTCAAATATATTAAAGAGATAATGTTAAAAGAGGGCCCAAAGTTCTTTTATTGGAGTGAAACCAGATACGGCTCAGATTTTAACAGGGCAATGAGTAGGGAGTGGCGCCTCCCAAGAGCTATCAGAGTACAGCTATCAGGCTGGTGTGATGAAAGGCAGCGGTAAATGCTGTGTCTTCTGTCCTTGAGAGTGTGTAAGTATACAGCGACAATGTGAGTGTGAGTATACAGTGAAAATACAGTCTGAGGCACGTCATATTTGCAAAATTACTTGTGAAACAACTGCAAGATTTTAAATTTAACTTTTTTTTCTAAGATGCTAAAACACGTTTTAAGGGGGAAGGAGGATTTAGTCCAGGAAAGAATGGTAGAGACTGAAGCCTGGGATTTGTATAGAAAATGGAACCAACCCACAGAGAAAGAGAGACAGCCTTTGATGTCTTGACGATCAAGGACCGAGGCTTAAGGACCAGACTCTTAAATCACGTGGCATTTACTGCCCAAGATAAAAAAATACTTTTCTGGATCACTGTGTGTGCTTCAAAATGGCTAGGTTCCAAAATCAGTCTTAAATTTCCAAGGGCAGCATTTGGAAGGCTTCCTGTAAGAACAGAGCAGAGCCCGTTTCTAGAAGGGGCAGCTTAATGATTTTTCTCCCCCTTCTATCCCAAATCATTAAACACTGTTCCTTTCCCAGAGCTGAGTTCATGCTGAGGGCAAAGGGAATTAAACGGAGAGGCTAAACCTGCAGCTAAGATGAGAGTGTTGCCAAGTGCCTAATTTTAGGTCCTCGCTGCCTCAGCTGACGTCCTGCGCCGCTGGCTTGGCCACAAGGGCCACGAGTGCGTGCCTGAGTGGGGCGAGCCACTCCCTGGCCATCTGCGAAAGCAATTAGCTTGCTGTTGGGGGTGTTTGGAGAGGGACTACCAATAATTTCTCCTTCAACAAATGTTTCTTCAGGTGTTCAAGAGTCAATGAGAGAAAATGTCAGACCTTGGCAGACATTCCCACACGCTTGCCATTCTCAATATTCACGCTTTCCCACTTAAGAGCAACCTCCAGAAGGGAACTAATCCTGGAATTCCTGTTTTTTCATGGCAAATAACCCCCTGATAAATTCCCCCTGGCTCTCAGTTTACCGCTACAACCTAGAGAAAGTGTTGTTCAGGACTTAACTTGATGAAAATTGACGTGGATGGACAGGAGTGACTCTTTCATTTTGTGGGGAATTTCTACACCACCCTTCTGCTTGGGTGTAGGCTGTCCCCTGCTCTCCACATATTTCCCAGGCACAAGTTTCATGCTTTAATTGTCTTCTTCAGAGGGCAGACAATAAGAGCTGGCATCTTCCAGATCAAAGGGGAAACAGAATATATTTTAAAGTGACAACTCTGTTATCCTGCAACCAGAATAATAAACTCATATAAATATAAGCCTCTAAATGATTCCATACTGAAATGCTACCAGAGAGCAAGATTTCCCGCATAATTATGGCAGGGAAACTCTCCTCACACAGCATGTCTTTTTTTTTCTTTTCCCCACAATTCTCCTGCCTGAGGCAGCCCACCTTGGGGATGGAGATTTCCTGTGCCTGTCGGTTGGAACCACAGTGATTGCCCACTGGTGCTGTCTTCGAGGGAGGCTCTTAACAAAGGCTCTTTGCCAGGGGCAATGAGAAACCAGGCTGCATTGCGGGCTCAGGGAACGCACCTTCCTCAGATAAAGTGCCCTTGGCCAGGGCTACTGTTGGGAAGGTGCACAGACCAACCCCAGCTGCTTCTCTTCATTGCTCTATTTTTGTTTCCCACTTTTCTGGCAGCTTTGCTTTTCCTGTCTACTTGTCCCACATCGTAATGTTGATCTGTCTCTCCACATATTCCTCCACCTACCCTCCAGCACACGCACAAACACAAATACATGCACACACACACGCTTGTGTGCACGTGCACGCGCGCGCACACACACACACACACACACACGCACGCACCATCTCACTCCCCCTGTCTCTTGGCACCGGCCCTTTCATCTTCTCCCTCAGGGATTTGAGATGTCGCTGCAGGAAGTGCTTGTCCGCAGAGGCAGCAGCAGCAGAGCCCTGTGGCTTTGACAAACCTCATTTAATTGGGAGGAAGCCAGGAGAATTTGAAAGAACTGAAACATCCACGAAACTCCTTTTATCAGGCATAATTTAAACTCTGCATGGAAAAACCCCTATATGTATAAAGAAAAGTCAACTTCCCTCCTGCTGTGAGCACTCCTCATCTCCCCCAGCACAGGCAGGCTCCTGCAAGATTCCATCTTTTCATTTTTCTAAAAGTGTCAAAGCAGATTTGGGCTCTGTGGCTGGGTGAACAGAGAAGGAATACAGATTATTCTGTCTCTGTCACTCGAGTACACACAGACACACATACACACACAGATACACACACACACACAGACACACACAGACACACACCCTTCGAGACATTCACGCACCAGAGCTCCTCTGTTGGTGGTTTTGCTTCAAATCATTCAGGAAGAATCAAAACCCAAGTTTCTAATAACACATCAGTCTAGAGAGTGATTGTTTCTCCCTAATTACCCTTTGACAAGCAAAAGCTGGTGCCCAGAAACTTTGAAGATCCTCAACAGTTCTTGGTGTGTAGATTAATAGACCCTGGAGCAGGGCTGATGGGGAAGATTTTTTTAAGTAAAGAGAAAGGAATGAGTGTGTGTGTGTGTGTGTGTGTGTGTGTGTACACCCAAGCATCTACACTTGTATGATATGGTATAATTAGAAATTTCAACCCCAAAAGAAGAAAGCCACGAAGGATCTTAGGGTTCATACTGGAAAACAGGGGACTGGGGTGTGAGGGGCAGGGCTGAAATCGGGCAGAGGTGCCAGGAAGGGAGAACAATAGGTCAGTCCACCAGGTCTGCCCCTTCCACCCAGACACCAAGCCCCGTCCCTCCCTTCCTCCCAAATTCCACTTCAGATTCACCTACAGTCCAACCCATATCACTTGAACTGTTTTCGCTTCTCCAAAGAATTGCCTTTAGCACACACAGCCTCTGAACATCTGCAGCTGATTATGCACAGATTTTAGCTGTTTAGATATGATTTGTGCTAATATGTGTATGAGAATGCCCTGTTTCCTCTTCCTCACCCTCTTTTCCTCCCACTCTGTGAGATCCTTGAGGCCAAGGACAAGCCTCTTGTTTCCCTCAACTTTTTATAGCACTTCATATGTTCTTGACACTTAATGGCAACTTAATAAATTCTAATGGCTGACTCTTCTTACAGGGTTAAGTAAGACATTAACCTCAGTTGTATGATTATGGTTATTTTTGGACATCTTAAAGGGCTCACTTTAATAATAAAATTCCTCAACGAGTCTCACACTAAGAGTTTCGGACTATTGCAGGGTGTTGTCTTAGATATGGTGAAGCTGCATTTGTAAACACTGGCGGTTGGGTCCGACTTGTCCAGCTTTTGTAAAGGCAGCTCCTTCCCTCTCCCCATCCTGTTCCCCTCTTCCCAGTCTGAGCTGCTTCTGGAGCCTCCTGCTTGAGCTTGCTTTGCTCTAATTTAGGATTCTGAAAACTCTTTTCATTTGAATGGTGGATATTTTCAAAGAAAGGCCACCTATAGATGGTCCCCTCTAAAGGGCTCGGGCCTGGCCTGCGCAGGCCCATCCTCCAGAGTCCTTTGTGGTCACATTCTGGGAAACACGAGGAGGGCTCCAACCACCTGACACCCAGCGCTCAGACTTGGAGGGTGACTGCAGGCCCGGGCAGCAAGGCTGATTTCAGGGTAACTTATGTTTCCAGCGGGCAGCCGGCCTCCGAGGGAGCTTCCTTCCCCCGGATCCCATCTCTCTCTTCCTTTTGTAGCATCACATTACCAACTGAGAAAAGCCCAGCGCTTCTCTCCAAGGTATCCAAGCCGCCTATCATCTTACTCTTCATGGAAAGAGAGAAGGGGCTTCTTAGGAACTTTGGTTTTGCTACTTCTGGCAGATGCTAGCTAAAGCAAACAAGTCAGCTGCAAATTTCATCTTGTCCAGTTCCTGAGTGTATGTATGCTGAGACGCTGGCTCCAAGCCACCTCTCCCCGCCAGAGCTTTAGAGTTTTAGAGACTCTCATGCCAGACTCAGGCAACCCTCAGAGACAAATTCTTCTCTAACTTCATTCTGGGTACAAAGTCTATGATTCTTCAGCACTGAGAAAAACCGCTGAAGAGACAGAGACTTAACACATATGTACACATCTACACACAAGTTCACACAGGTGCACACACACTCCCTCACTCACCATCAAGAAGCTGGAACAGCTGAGGCGGCAGGGCACGGAAATATTCATGGTCGAGCGCATCTTGGGCGGACACACGGGCTCGAGGAAAGCCTTTGAGCATCTGGGAGGCCAAGTCTTCTGCTTCAGGAACCTCACCCAGCCTGGAAAAACGAGAGATACACAGTTTCTCCAGAGGCCTCTATTCTGAAAAATAAAGGCAGGAAAAGTAACGATCAGAAAACAGCTACATTTAGGATGGTGTTTCAGATAGAACTTTCCCGGGATTATAAAACCTGATGGCATATAGAAAAATAATCCCTATACTGAAACTCTTACCTGTCCCCTTACTAAGATGAAGGAGAAAGTCTCAACATTGCACCATTCAGCTCCCCTTCCCTCCACCATGTCCCTGGATACCACATGTGTGTAAGGGACATGGAATTGTAATTAAGGAAACAGAAGTATATAACTAAGAATTCTTCATGGAGGGACACAGCAGCTCCACCGAAGCAGAAAAGCCTGATTGACAACATGGTCCAGGCTCTGGACTCCAAAAGCAGCAGGTATCGAAGGCTCTGAGGAGCGGAGAGGGAGAGGCAGTTCTGGAGGGTGAAACTTCATAGGGAATAGTCTTATTTTTAGTGTTTCTAAAGCTCAGCCCCAGGGTTCATGGTTAAGCAGCGCTCTTGGCTCCCTTTGAGATGGAGTAGAGCAAGAGAGATAATTAAGCACCCAAATTCCAGTGTGGATGAGTCCTCAAGTAGACCTTATGTCGAATTACGCATATGGAGATAAGCACACTCATTTACTGAGCAACTGTTAGGTGCTAGTAGGTGGCTGGCTCTGGCAGGTACAGGGTAATCTGTCTTCTGGCAGCTTAGTCTAGTACAGGGATCAAACATTTACCCAATTATATAAATGCATAGGTACAACTGTAAAGAAAAGGCCCTTGCTCTGCTCTGAATAATTACATATTTCCAAAATGCATATTATTAAAGGTGGGGCCTTTGGAGCCGATTAGTTTGTAAAGGTGACACCTTTGTGAATGGGATTAGTGTCTTCATAAAAGAGGCTGCCTGGCCCGCCTTGTGAAGGGACACACAGAAGGTACCATCTGGGAAGCACAGAGCCCCCGAACCCAGACAACAGATCTGCATCAGCAGGCACCTCAGTCTTAGCCACCCTAGCCTACAGAGCTGTGAGCAATAAACTCCTGTTGATTATAAATCATCTAGTCTAAGGCACCTTGTTACAGCAGCCCAAGCTAAGGAAGCCCTCACATGTGTCCTAGAATGGGGGGAGGTCTGGGAAGGTTTCTTGAGGAAGCAACCTTTGAGCTGAGAGCGAGGGAGCTGGGGGAGGAGAGGGGCAGGCCCTGCCCACAGAGGTTTCTGGTGCTCCTGTTGAGCTTGAGGTGGAAGGGAGATGTACGAGTTTAAGGTAGGGAATTGCAGCTTCTTGGCTCGCTTGGGACAGGGAGCAAGAGAGAGAGGTGCCTGATAAGAAGTTGGGGAGATTGGTTGCGTAGGGAGATTCAGTAGGACTTAAGGGTCTTCATGTTACTCACAATGCTTGGAAGTCTTCGGTAATCTAGTGAGGGTCAGTCCTGCGCACCCACCTCTACAACTCACAGACAGCTTTACAAGTAGAAAGCCACAGAGAAAAAATACACAGATCTTGCAGGACAATTAACGACAGACCAACAATCAGAAATTAAGTTGCATGACCAGGAAACAATCAAACCCTAAACAGAGGTGTTTACTAAAAATCCAAGGGGGCAGGAAGACTCCAGGCTGTGGCTCAGTGTTGTAATCTGTCTAATTTTTGCATAAGATTTGAATAAGAAACTTTCTGGTATCTGATTCCCATGACATAAAATCATTTCTGCAAACAGATTGCTACTCTTCAAGCCAGGAGTCATTGTTTCACAGAGAGAGGAGAAGAAATTTGGAAATCCCTAGTGCTTGCAAATTTTCAGGTCAGTTAGGGCAGAAAGGAGCCTGCAGTGGATGCCTGCTCGTTCTCGGTGTCCTGGTGGAGGACTACACAGGTAACCCACCCAGGTAACCTGCCCAGGTTTGGGAGAACTTAATACATGTAAAATCTGATTGTTCTCAGAGGAAGGAGAAAGTGGTTTTAATTTCTTGGTCCATCCTGACTCAGTATAAAAATCTCCCACTCCTTCACAGCCTTCGCAGCATAGGATGAGGCTGGTGCTATGAGCTCGACTGGCCCTTTGCCTTGCATCGATAGAAAGGCGAGGGGTTTAACATGGGGTAAAGTAGATGGCCACAGTAAGAAACATCCAGCAAGCCGGGCACGGTGGCACATGCTTGTAATTCCAGTACTTGGGACACTGAGGCAGGAGGATCGCTGAGAGTTTGAGGCCAGCCAGCCTGGGCCACACAGTGAGTCCAAAGCCAACCTGAACTACATAGTGAGATCCTGTCCTAAAACAAACAAACAAACAAAAGCCCCCAAAATACTCCCCTCAAAAAAACAAAGAAACACCCAGCAGTTGAAAGAAATGACATCAGAGAAGTTGTCCTACAATCTGCCATTCAGCCTAAAAAATGAGAGTGCACTTACCAGGCTCAGTTTAAGAAGTCAGCATAGAACCCGAGCAAGGCCCTGGTCTGGGCACACAGGTGCACACACAATTCCACAGTACCTCTGAGGGAGTGGTGTGGAAAAGCTGGTGATAGCTCAGCAGTTCTTGACTTACACACTTGCAACTATATTCAACTGACAGCTGTGTATCGGATGAATCCTGACTCTACCAGTTCCTCAGCTGGATGACTCTGGCCAGATTACTGAGTTTCTCTGAGCCTCAGTTTCCTCCTTTTTGACTCAGGAATGACTTTTTTTTTTCCTTTTTGAGACAGGATTTCACTATGCAGTTCAGGCTGGCCTTGAACTCACTTTGTAGCTCAGGCTGGCCTTGGGCTCACAGCGATCCTCCTGCCTCAGCATCCCCAGTGCTGGGATTACAGGCATGCACCACCACACCTAGCAGGAATGACACTTGTAAGGGCTGAAGGTAATAATATATGCTGTACCTTGCTGGGCACATAATATACATCCCACCTAACATTAGTCCTGTTTGCAGAGCCCTTCACAGAGCCAAGAATTCCTTATGTGACACTCTAGACCAGCACTGTCCTACAGAGCTCTCTCTGATGAAGGAAATATTCTATTTCTGCTCTGTCCAGTGTGGCTGTGGAACTGGTGGGATTACAATAACTTAATCTTAAGTAGCCACTTGTGGCTGGTGGCCACAATATATACAGTGTAGCTCCAGACATCACCCCTCTGTGGAGGTCTGAGCAGAGAGGAGGCTGTGTCTGGGCAAAGGCGTAAATAGATGTTTCCAGAGGTGCTAAGTGTTGTGTGGTCAGCAAAGCCGGAGAGGATGCAAGCCCTGCTCAACCTCTGGGAAGGCCTGGTGGGGAGCTTACGGGAGACTGGCGGCATTATTGTGGCAACGGCAATGGCCGCAGTGAGGAGGATTAGTAACTTTGCAGATTCAGAGTTACTGTTTATTTTGGAAGTCAATTGTAAAATGAAAGAAAGTAACAGGGCAGAGTGAAAATTCAAATATCTCTAATTAGGGGTTAGAGAGCCTGAGTATGCCGGCAGGAGAAGGCCTGCACAGCCTGAGTAAAATGATGACTGAAGTTTCCAAGAGGATGGGGAGTGGGGTTATACAGTGCTTTTTGAAAATAAGAGTGAGTGCGGGCACGCCCCAGAGAGCCCGGCCCCTCTAGCGAAAGAGCCCTTGGCAGTCCCTGGTTCTGTGTTTCCAGCGTATCTTATTCTATACTGTAGCCTTTTAAAGCATCTGAATAGCAGGCATAGAGAAATCAAAGGACACTAGGTTAAACTGTTCCACATTTTCAGTTAGGATCTTGGCGGGTGAGACTTCTTCTCCTCACCTGGGAGAGTGTGCTTTTCTTTGACATCTGAGCTCGTTTGCCCTGTCTCTGATGTTTACCTCACTGCCCTTTTTACCTCCTCACTGAAGCAAAAAGAACAGAGCTTGGGCTAATTACTCGTAGATCAAATAATCCTGGTTATTGTAATTGGTCATTGTCCGAAAACACTGGGTTCTTCTTAGCCCCGAGGTTGCCTGGCGCAGCTTAGTTAGCTAACTATTCCCGGAATGTCTCTATTATCTGTTTTACTTTGCAAAAGAAACTGGGGATTTGTTGAAGGCTGGTAATAAAAGTCTGCCCTGGTCTGAGCTGGGCTGCATGGAGAGGGCCTGGGAAAGCATGACCTCCATGAATCAAGTCCCCTCTAACGGCCACTCAATGATGCTATTTGGTTTCCCCGTGTCAGAGAATAATAAGCCCACTACCGTTTTCCTGCGGGCCAGCACTCCTGCGTTCTCAGGGCCTGGGGCATGGCTCAGGGACACAAAGCAGTTTTAATGGCCAAACTCACTGAAAGTAAAATGGTTCATAGAGAAAAAAAACTAACACAGTGGGGGAGGGGCTCGCTCTCCCAGAGGCGGTTCCCAGAGCAGGGTGCTAGGGGCTGTCCTACAGCAGAAGGAGGGCCGCAGAAAGTCTCTCCTCCCTGCCTGCAGAGAGCTCCCGGTGCGGTGCTCACCTGTTCCATACGACCTGAAGTCTCTGAGGCTGAGGCGTCAGGAACCATTCTGGAAAGCACATAGACAAACATTAAAAAAACAAAAACAACTCTTTAATCTGTGGCCAGAAATAATACTACAATTCTAAATGCTCTCCTTGCCTTGGAGGTGAGAGGATTCAATTATTGGGTGAGTTAACTAATGATTTTTAAGGCCTTGTCTCACTCCGAATTTTTATGATTCAGTGGGAGGGAGGTCACTATTATGGGTTGAATGAACTGCCCCTCAAATTCTTATGTTGAAGCCCTAACTCTAAACACCTTAGAAGATCATGTTACATGGAAATAAAGTCATGACTGATATGATTGCTTAAGATGTGGTCCCTGGGGTCAGCCCAGATACAATCTGACTGGCATCTGTATAGAAAGGGAAAATTTTGCCGGATGTGTGGCACACACCTGTAATCCCAGCACTCAGGAGGCAGAGGCAGGAGGATCACTGTGAGTTTAAGGCCAGCCTGGGCTACAAAGTGAGTTCAAGGCTAGCCTAAACTGTATAGTGAAACCCTGTCTCAAAAAACAGAAAGGGAAAATTAGGATACAAAAGCAGAGAGGTACCTGGGAATATGACAGGTAGAGATGCAAGGAGAAGATGGACATCTACATGCCAGGAAGAGGGTCCTTGGACAGATAGGCCCTCATCTCATCAGAAGGCCATCAGATACCTCTGTTTCCAACTTCCTAACCTGGAACTGTGAGATGAAATGTTTTTGCTGTTTAAACCGCTGAGTTTGCAGTACTTTGTTATGGCAGCCATGGTCAACTCATCTAGTCCAAATAGTCACTCAAGGGGGCTGGGGATTTAGCTCAGCGGCAAAGCGCCTGCCTGGCAAGCGCAAGGTCGTGAGTTCGGTTCCTAGTACCGGAGAAAAACCAAAAAAAAAAAAAACCAAAAAAAAAAAAAAAAAAGTCACTCAAGTCAACAAATATTTATTTAACATGTAGTGTGTGCAGAGCATGTGCCAAGTGCTGGGAGAAGACAAAGAAATCAAAAGAAATTCTCCCGCTCTTGCAGAGCTTACAATTCATTTGGGAGAACAAAGCACAGGCAGATGAAAAGTCATGTGACAAATGATGGGGCAAAGTCTCAGAGACTCAAAAGTGGTACAAAGGAAGGGGGGGTTAGTTTTAGATGCCACTGGGTAAAGGTGGAAGTGAATCTTGGCTTCAACAATCCAAAATGGGCTATAGTAGAAATTATAATTTAATTTGGAGCATACTATAACATTTGTATCTAGCTATGTGTGTTCTTAGTACTTTTGGCATTGACACTAACCCAGTTAAAATCACAACAAAAGGTAAATTTTTTTTTCCAGAAACAGTAAGTGAATATCTACTGTCTGTAAGGGCCACAGAGGAAGCTAGCTGATGCTATTTATCAAATTCCCACTTTATTTGTCATCCAAATTGAGAAAAGAGTACTTCAACTCTCATTTAAAACAATCTATCTGCCTTATACTTTTCTTAGGCCTGAAATGCAGTTGTTTGTATTTTAAAAGTCTATTCTTCCAAGTCCTATACGAGTGGAACAAACCAAGACTGTTTATCACAGCTAAGAATTTAATTGTACTTGGGCAAAAAAATCATTGCATGATGACATTAACATATTCATGTCACTATGTGCATAGAAAGACCTAGAAGACTACTCACGAGATGGTGATCGTGGTCAAAAGGGCTTACCTTTTATGCTTCTCTGCCTACTTTCTGAAAATTAAATTTAATAAAAGCATGTACAGTTGGCTTTCTGCACTTCTCTGTTGCTCATCCACAGGTTCTCCATCCAAGGATTTGACTAACCATGACTTGAAAAGAGGTTTTTAAAAAACTCACTAGGGCAGTTATACTGAATATGTCCAAATCTTTTCTTCTTATTATTATCTGAACATTGAAGCATAACAACCAAGCACATAGCACATAGTACTTACATTGTAGTAGTGATTACAAGTATCTGAAGGCAATTAAAAGAACTGTATATGGAAGGCTGTGCAGAGGTTACATGTAAATAGTACCCCACTTTACAGAGTGAGCTGAGCATTTGCAGGTTTTGGTATCTGAGGGGATCCTGCAGCTGATCTCTATGGGTATAGAAGGATGATACTATTGTTCTATAATAAGTAAATTCCACTTAAAGCTGAATTTGTAGTGCCAAGAGCTGTAGAGTGAAAGAAGTAATCAAAGAAAGTAGCCTAAGCTGAGTTTCCAAGGTCACATAAAATTAAGTGTGAGCCACTTTGCTGGTGGTTTATAGTCCCAGGTGGGGACTAAGGACTCTTGTACACGTAGGTTATTTACCCTCTGCTCAGTATGATTGCATCTAATTTCAGACTAACCTATAAAGATAAGAATATTTGACATTTCTTAATATGTTTACTTCCAAACTACTTTCTGCAGTCTATTTACAGTTCTCCCCTGGCCAAACAAATTTAAAATATTTTCTTGTTTAGTCATAGCTCAGTTTCCAATCAATATGGTGAAATCCGTTTCAACCCTCTTCCATTTTCTGTTTTTTCTCCTCTTAGAGCTCTATGAGCTGTGTTTTTGGGGCCGTGGTATTTTCATACTGTGTCCAGGTGAAGTGTTGTTCCTAGAGGTTGGGTGTCAGCTGAGTTAGTCTGAGTACTGACTGCTGCTTCGGCTTTGCTGAGATTGTAAGCAAAACACTTTACCACTGTGGCCCTGGGCTTCTTCACCTCAAGCTCGCATTCACCTTACCAGGGTGTTGAGGTAACTCAATAGACAGTGACGGGAAGGTGCCTCCTTTGGAGCATTAAGCAAAATACATCCTGTTTGTTTTTCCTTCTTTCTTCTCTGAAAATGATGGGCAAAGCAGTGTATGGTGAGGCTTTTGGACCCTGGACTCAGCCACTTCTCAGCCGTGAGACTCCAAGATGTTGCTTAACCTCCCGGGGTCTCAGTTTTCCCATATTCCCACAGGGGATAATTACAGTTCCTACCACACAGGATGGAGTAACCATCAGTAAGCCATCACTGCTTCTCTCAGGTGTTTCTGCTTTGTTATGCTCTTTGTTTTGCTTTGTTTTTTTGAGGCAGGGTCTGGTCTTGAACTCACTATGTAGCCCAGGCTGGTCTTGAACTCACAGTGATCTTCCTGCCTCAGCCTCCAGAGCATTGGGATTACAGGGTACACCATCACACCCAGCTTGTTGTGCTCTTCGGAAAGCTGTTTCCGCCTGCTGAAATTCTAACTCTCTCCAAGCTATTCTTCTTTTTGTTTGTTTGTTTTTGTGTTTTTTTTTTTGTTTTGTTTTGTTTTTTGTTTTTTTGAGACAGGGTCTCGCTATGCAGCTCAGGCTGGCCTTGAGCTCACTTTGTAGCCCAGGCTGGCCTCCAACTCACAGTGATTCTCCTGCCTCAGCCTCCCGAGTGCTGGGATTACAGGTGTGTGCCACCATGCCCGGCTACAAACTCCTATTCTGATAAGCCTGACTGGATTTCTTTTGGGTCCTCGGTGTGAGCCAGAGGTGTGTTTCTTAGGTGTGTGGTGTAGTAACGTGAAAATGAACCCAGCCTGAAATCACTTTTTCTGTAGCTTGGGATCTTTGGGACTGTGGGAGAGAACTGCTTAACCTCTCTCCTTCAGTAACTGAGAACGTTTTCTAATCTATGAAATGGGTAATCTTTCCAACTGCTGAGAGGAATGGGTAAGATCAAGCAATCGGTGTGTGGCAGGGGCTCAAACAAATGTTAGGTTGGTCTCAGTCTTCCTCTTCCTCTTATTCTCAGCCCTTGTCTTGCAGCATAACCTGATTCCAGCGTGGTGGTGTGCAAGCAGGGAACAGATTAGCCTCACTTGTGGAGCTTTTAAACGTGAGGCGGCCCTGGCTCCACCCCCTAGAGAGTCTGATTTAACTAGTCTGGGAGGGTTCAGGCACTGGTTAGTTGTTGTGTTATTATGTTTTTAATGGTCTCCAGATGTTCCTAGTGAGGGCAGCAACTCGACATGCTTCCCGGAACCTCATTTCCTCATCTGTGACAACTCAAGTTGTGAAAATTGCATTAATCGATGTAGATAAAAATTGCAGGGGCCAGTGTCTGACTACTACTGAATAGGTGATTCCAAGAAATGTGGAAGAGGAAGTGTGATGAGAGAGCAATTAGCTTTCATAAATTCTACCAGAAAAGGATGATCTACCAGAGTTGCCCCAGGATCCAGGCGTGACAGCATCTTCAACTTGAGGCTGTGTAGGCTGACGGTGCTGACTCTTCCCAAATCTATTTTGTAGCTACATGCAGCTGAGATGGAGCCATTTTTGTAGCCGGGTCAGTCCAGAGCTGCTAGGAAGCCAAAAGCCCAATGCCTATTTATGGCCTACCCTCCCACTCTTATGTAGATAACCTGATTCTCAATGACCTTGCCTCTCCTCCATTGATTTTTCCCAGTAGTTAAGCTACAAATGATCAATGCGAGAATGATCCCCAAGCAGATAGGCATTTTACGCAGCACCATTTCATGAACAGTCTGTTTCTCTGGCTTCAATAGACTCTACAAATAATAGGTCTGGGGGTAGCTTGTTTCCCTTCTCCTTCCAAAGATGTTAGTAAATCATTAGACCAGATTTTCTTCCGTCTCCTCCCTCTGCAGTTCTCTTTGAAAGAGTTTTCATTTAAGTTCAATTGGAATTCCAGGCAGGAAAAGCAAAGTAAGTTGCAAAAGGAAACTGAAAAAGCAGACTATTTAAATTTCCGAACTAAATGGAGTCAAATTAAAATGAGGGCAGAGCTAATGCTGCCAAAGTAAAAATGGTCCATTTTTCATGAATGTTTAATGCTGCTCATTTCACGACTGACTCAAGCATGGAAACCTTAGTCATTAGAGATACGTTGATTGATTGATAACACACTGATAGAACATTTTGAGTCTTGGCTCAGGGTACAACGTTTTTTGTTGTTACCATAGCCCTGCCACAATCACTCTAAGGTTATCTTATAGTTTGGTCTACTCAACTACACTTCTGGAATTTCCTGGAAACAATGCATTCTTGAGATACC